GGCCGCTCTGCCCGGAGTGGGACGGGCGCGGGGACAGAGGCGCCCAATCCTAGACGCGGTCGATGTGCACCAGCACGTCCCAGCGCAGCAGGTTCGGTGGCGGCGCAACGACCCGGCTTGGAGGCGAGAAGCCAATCATCTCCTCCACCTGGCCAGCACCTCTGGCATGCTTCCACAGGGTTCGCATGGTGGGGATGTGGTGCAGCTGCCACACCCACACCTAGACGGCGAACAACTTCGTGTCCGCGCGCTCGAACGTGCGACTGTCGAGGCGGTCGATGATGACCGCGTCGCCCAGCGCGTCCTTCATGCCCTCCAGGGTCCACAGCTGCATCGGCAGCTTCTCCATGACGACGCGAACGTGCAGCATCCAGGTGTCGTGGATCGCGTGCATGTCCTCCCTCCAAGGCTCCAACAGGAAGGAAACACCATCCACCGCGATCGAGCCCCGCCGCACGACGAGGTCCTTGTGGGCCGGCATGGTGAAGTGGATGAAGAAGTCCTCGGGGTCGTGGCTGGTGACACGGAGGAGATGCGCGGGGATCTAGAATTCCCGCTCGATGGAGAGGGGGCTGGCGGCGTGCAGCTTGCAGCTTGCTCACCGCGGTGACCACCACCGCGTGCTGTTGCAGGAGGAAGATCTGCTGCTCCATCTCCGGGGTGGATGCGATCACCTTGTGGCTGGTCCTCGGCCGGCGCCCGTGGTCGACGCAGGGGGCGTTCGCCGGAGCAATCGCTGGCGGGGGAGGGCTGGCCTGGGCGGGGAAGACCAGTCGATACCGCACCGGACGAGCCTGCAGCCCGTCCACCCTCTGGTTTCTCCGGTTCTTGGGGCACTCCTTGCCGATGTGGCCCGGGCGCTTGCAGATGATGCAATGGAGAGGATCGTGGCAGTCGATGCGGCGGTGGTGCGGGCTGAGGCAGCGGAAGCAGAGGCCTCTGAACTTGCTTAAGAAGGCCTCGTGCCCCGGTGCAGGGGGGCGCCGCCCGGATCTGGGCCCGTGGCGATGCCCCGAGCCGACCGGCGGGTTTTTGCTAGCCTTCTTGCTTCTACGGGACTGGTATTGCGTCCATCCTTCATCAATGGCGGTCGGCCCCGAAGAGGGAGGCGGGGATGGCACTACCACAATGGATCGGAGCCGGTGCTGCTCGGGCGGGGTGGCGGGCCCAGATCCAGCGGTCCGGGCGAGGAGCCGCCCTCGAGGTCAGGACCCCGCTGCAGGATTTGCGGAGGCGTCCCCCACTCTAGCGCGGCCGGGGAACGGGGGGAAGAAGGAGCGACAGAAGATCCAGGGGATCCAGAGCCTCCCCTGGGGCCAGGACAATGAAGGCGGGCTGGTGGGGAGGCAGGAGCCCGGGGGATGACGGATCCGTCATCGGCATGGGCGGCCCTGGCATCCTGGGCGGGTCGGCGCGGGTGGGTGGTGGCCGCCGCGGCCGGAGTGGCCAGCGGCGCGGCGCGGGGTGGAGCGGAGACTAGCCTACTGGTCTGGCCTCTGTCTAGTGTAGTTGTTCAAGACCAAAATTTTATCTAATATAACTTGGAAACTTGTGAATGATGTGACTTAATATGAATAATGGATTATGATGCCATGGCAGTGTTGCTACTCCAAATCTACAATGAACTTGGTTCTTCATAAAGTATACACAACGAAATAATACCTCATAATTTGCAGTCTTTTTCAGAACGAGGTAGCTTGGTGTTTCTATATCTGGGGTCTTGTAGTATCGTAGCTGTGTAAAATCAAAAGTTCAACTTCAAATACTCGATCGGCATATAAAAAGGAAATATACTGGTGTCGAATTACCTGCTTGAAAACTTCAACCAATCCTTCCAAGGAGAAGTATTCATTGTTCTGTATTGAATCCCAAATATCCTGCAGTTCAGCATATCAGATAAGTAGAATAACATTTACTGATGAGTTGGGTAAACATCTCTTGATTCAAATGAATGGAGAATTCAGTATTTCTAATATAAAATAATGGACATTTAGGTGCGTATTTGAGAAAAACCGGATATAATATGAGTTTTGGAGAATGCCATTCCTTAGGGATTTTTCCTATAGAGCTTGTTTGACTTGTATGATTGGTAACCATAGGAATTTTTCCTCTGGAGTACTTGGCATGCAATTCCAAAGGTGAAATCATAGGAATTTTCCTTCGTTTGACTGTTTCTGTTAGCACTATAGCAAGCACTTAATCCTTGAAAAGCGGTCAGTGTGTCTTTCCTGTAGTCCAGCTAAATAACCTCTGTTGCATGTTCATGTGCTTCCAATTCCTATTTTATTCAACATGCCATGACATCCATAGATCCTATGTTTTTCCTATTCCATGTGCGTTTGGAATCCTACGAGGGGGATCCAATATAAGTATGCTTGATTGTGGAAGTATCACAGCACTAGTTTTTTCTCAGGCACGTATTATAGATGGTACAAGAGTAGGAAGAATCTCAGAACATGTACAACACTCTGTTCTACTTACAAACCACTGCAGTTCTGAAATAGTGCAGCAGGCTGAGAAAGGACGGTATCTCAGATTTTAGGTTCATAGAAAACCACTAGACCAAAAGAAAGAAAAAGTAAAAGTAAAAATATAATGCTATGGCATATCATAACAAATGACATTGCAGAGGGCAGCAAGATCAAGTGTGCAGAGTTAAGTTCAGAGCTTTGTCCCAGGCAGTCAGGTTGAACCTGAAGCATTGAACTATACAAGGACTGATAAGTGGAAAATTGGCTGACAGTTCCTAGAACAATTTGGTCAAACAATCCATTGTCTGCTTTTGTTGGATCTGCTGGTCACGTAAATGCACTAGCTAACGATGTCGATGTTACCGTGTAAACTCGAGCCTTTTCTAATTAAATATACTTCAAATAGTTACTTCGTCTTGACGGCCTTGAATTTGAAAACTGCAAACATTCGAGACCTATGACTGCAAGTCCAAACTAGACTTCATAGAACAAAGTATATCCAGTAGAAACAACAGTCAACTACCACAATACTGATATATTCCCTCGCCGGCGAACCCACTCAGCATTAAAATGAAAAACATACTAGGTTCCAAGAATGGGTGCTGACCACATGGCTGCAGAACTTGAGATTCTGTGGGTTGACGCCCATGATCGACAACCCGGTGAAGACCAGCTCCGGCTTCCACGGCAGGAGAGAGAACTTCATGACCATGGTCCACCTCGTGGTAATCTCATACGGCCCTGTCTAAACCACATTCACAGAGACAGAGATTGTCACGAATTTGCAATGCACACGCGCATTCTCGCTGCAAAATGCGAGCATCGACCGAGGCGGAAGAGACGCTGACCTGCTTGGCGTCGTGCAGGTAGAAGTCGGGGCGGAAGATGACCTTGAGGAGGCTGATGTTGGCGAGGTAGCCGTCGATGTCGTCGTAGCGGGTGATGGGGTCGCGGAAGCGGACGCGGTCGTCGTACGCGGAGCGGTCGATGCCCACGTTGTCGAACAGGTGCGGCAGGTCGGCCTTCAGGAACTCCACCAGCCGCTGCGCCTCGGCCGGCGTCAGCCCGGCGTCCCTGTTCTCTCCGGCCGGTGCCGCCGGGGCGACCGCGCCGCCGCTCGGCGCCGCCCCTGCCGAGACGGCGAGGCGTGGCCTGCGCCTCCGGTAGGACGCGGTGCGTGCTGCGGCGGGCTTCCGTAGCCGGGGAGAAGTTGTGGTGACGGCGGCGGCGGGCGCCGGTAAATGGATGAGGAGGCGGGAGGAGAGGCGTGTGGCCATTGGTGCCGTTTGGAACTGTGTTGGGACTCCTTCTCTCCACGCTTTGGTTTTCCGTTTTGCCCTCTGTTTTTTCTCCATGGTTTGTTTCTGCGCGCCGTGTTAAAATTTGAGCCACGGGATTATTTCCCCTTCCAGAAGTATCAATCAAATTTTCGAAATCACTAGTTTTAGGAGTATTTGTTACAAAAATCACTCTCGTCTTCCAGGTTGCGGCAAGTGGCGTGCTGCATGTATGCCACTTGTTCAACATGAGAGTTTTCTTTTTTTTCATAAGTCCATTTATTCAAAATGTTTTATCTTTTAAATCGTGTGTCCAAATCTTAAACCGTTTTATCATTGGATTCCTTGCGTTGAGATCTCTAAAACTAGATCCCATGTTGATAGGTTTTGACGAACTTATTTTTCATGAAAAAATCGGACGAAAAAACTGACCAGGGAGCACGGGTTTTGTCTTTTTCCGAAAGAGGCACAACTGTGCCTCTCGTGGAAGAAAAAAAACAGAAAATACACTTTTTTTTGTTTCTGAAAGGCACCACCGCGATTCTCGCGAAAGCACAATCGTGCCTCTTGCGGAAGCAAAAACCGTGCCTCTCACGAAAGAAAAAAAACAGAAAATACGTTTTTTTTCGTTTCCAAAAGGCACGGCCGTGACTCTTGAGAAAGCACAATCATGCCTCTTGCGGAAGCAAAACCGTGTCTCTCGCAGAAGGAAAAAAACAAAACACACATTTTTTTCGTTTTTGAAAGGCACGGCCATGACTCTCGCGGAACCAAAACCGTGCCTCTCGAGGAAGAAAAAAAACAGAAAACGCGTTTTTTCCGTTTTCGAACGGCACGGCCGTGACTCTCGCGAAAGCAAAGCTGTGACTCTCGTGAAAGGAAAAAAGAACGCAGTTTTTCGCGCAAAAAAAATTAAATTTTTTTGACCCAAAAGCTAAGGAAGACCGGTAGAAAACTAAAACGTCAAAAAAACCTGAAGAAAAGACCATTTAAAAAGCCAAAAACGCGTGCGAAAAAATTAAAAAAAAAACAAAATCCGGAGGAAGCGCCCAGAGCGCGACACGTGGCAAATGGCTGAGAGCGCGACACGTGGCAAATGACTGAGAGCGTGTCAAATGGTGTTAATCGTTGCGAGGCTCCCGAAGGAGCGCTCGTTAATTAGTTGCTCCCTTAAATCTACAGCGTGTTTGACACCATAGGGAGAGGGAATGGGAGTTTAGGGATGAAGTTTGTTTGGGAATTAGTCACGGGAAATTGATTTTGAATCTCATTCCCTTGTTTGGCATGTGAAGACAATTAGAACTGATAATTGGTCATCACACGGACTCCTAAACCGTTCGGTCCGAACGGAATTTGCCATTCAACACGGTAGCTCATCGATCTGCAAAACGGTCTAGATGTCTATTTACCTATAAATCAGAGACAAACTGAGGAGCTTTGCAGACGCCTGGACGGCTAATGCGTACATCTCGGACACCCCAGACGCATCCGACAACCTCCCCAGTGTCCTTGTTCGTGCCACATTCATGCCGGCCCGGAGCTAACGCGACCTCTCACTAGAGCGGCATTGAAGCGGCGCGCCGGCCGAGAGCGTCCCGGCATCATGTCCCTGTCTTCTTGCCTATTCATTGTCGGAGCAACGTGACTGGATGAGACTGGACGGATATCCACCGCATTCAAAAGGGATAACCATCCGTCCGTCCGTCGACATTAAATAGGCACGACGGCCGAGAAACCCACTCTAATGGAGCTAAATCTAGTAGATCTCAGGCTAGGGATTCCAAGCTAATCGTGTGAGCACGATGGTAACAAGGACACAAGAATGGACCCAAGTTCGGGCTCGTCAAGGAGATAATACCATACGTCTTGCTTGTGTTTATTGCAATTGGATTGATTACAAAGTAAAGAAGTTCTACCATGAGATTGTTGTGTCTAATGTAAGATGTTCTATCGACTAGTGTAGCCTTGGTTTATATAGGATACCGAAGGCCTAGGATTACAAGAGTCCTAGTTGGATATGTTGGTGGAGGAGAGTCCTCCATGGATAAGGAGTCATTGTCATGAACGGCAACGCTTCTTGACTTTCCTTGTAGATCGCCATTGGCCGCTTAAAAGTGCCCCAAGACAAACCAACAAAGGGGGTCCTCAGCCTAGCCCGCTAGGTCGGGAGTTGACATGGTGAGAGGCCTCCCTAGCCGAAACACCATCAATAGCCCTTGAACCAATCTCTGAGTCTGATTTCACCTCGCCTTATCTGAGTTGCACGTCTAGTTTGGCCACGAGTCTTGAAATTGGTTCAACAAGAACCCTTCGAACAATGTCTTCTTGCAGCCAAGCTCCGATGGTGGACTACATCCGAGGTGAGTAAAACCGCCTCGATCTTTGAAAATGTTGAAGGAGTACGGTCGAGCTCCATGCCGAAAAGGTCTCCCATGCAGCAAGTCGCTCATAGCCGTCGGCCTCCATGTTGGACTACTTCCGAAGTGGTGCGCATCACCTCAGTCTCGAGATGTTGACGCGGATCGTCGATCTCCGCAGAAAAAAGTTTTAACACCAAGCCGGTTTCTACGAGCCGATTTTTCAAGGATTTTTTATTGGTGCAATTTATTCACTGCTGAGATATATAGCAAGTATCCCTCAAGGTGTATGCCAGTCCAAAAGTCGGTATGTGACGGTGCTGAAATCCGCCAGACCCCTCAGTAGGGGTCCGAGTGCAGCTAGAAGTCACAAATCAAAGGTCGCATGAGGGTTTTACCCAGGTTCGGGCCTCCGGAGGGTAATGCCCATTCGCCGTGCTTGCTCCTATTATTCATGGTGGAGGGATAACTTATGCGAGGGGTTACAATGGTGTATGATATTGCTACCGACAGATTTCTATCCGAGAGCAGATGAGAATGAGAGCCACCTAGCCTCCCCTTATATACGCGGTGAAGGCTAGTGCTTTACAGGTGGGCATATGTGATCTAGGGTGCCGCCGCCCATGGCTTGGGAAACAAGTTGGTCTACGACATCCACCTTATCTTCTAGGGCTTCCTTTTGTTGCCGGGCCTCGTGGACCCCCGGGCAAGCCTTCTATCGGGCTGCCCTCTGTAGGAGATATGCCCTAGAGGCAATAATAAATGCTATTACTTATCTCCATGTTCATAATTATGTTTATGTTCCATGCTATAACTGCTATGGTTCTCGAGTCCGCAATAACACGAGGCTCGGAGGAAGACTCATATGCACATGTGGAATAATAAACGGTAATAAGTATTCCTAGTATGGCCTCTAAGACTAGCTCAAGTGTTGCATGATGATTCTGTTTTCCTGGTCATGGGCATGTCTATGCCAGCAACTTTGAGGGCACAATGTTAAGAGAATATTTGTGTTGAATCGACCCGGATTGATGTTATGCTATGAGATTCATTCGTCACAAGTTTAATGGTACATAATACAGAGATGGTTAACATTTGCATGATTCCTTAGACCGTGAGAGTACTGAGTTTCTTCATGCTTGCTTCATGAACTTTGGGGTTTGTTAAACATCATTCGTAAATGGGTGGCTATTACGGCGGCTTACGGGTTCATGGAAAAGTATGTCAAGTAACTTAATAGCTCAAGATTGGGATTTGCTCCTCCGACGATGGAGAGATATTCTCGGGCCCTCTCGGTGTTATGGTATCCATAATCGTCTAGCCAGACATCTTGTGATTTGATCACTGGGATGCCAGAACACGGAAACGAGAAAAGAGAACAAAACCGGTAACGAGCTAACTTGCATGGTGGACAAATTGTTCGTCCATGGGAATGCAATAAATCTCACCTCGGGTGTTTGTGACATATCGCGAAGCAGCAGGAATAACTCACTGCAACTAGAGGTTCACTCAAATATTTATTCGTGTGGGTATAGGGGTCAATATGGGTGTCGACGGCTTCGATGTTGATCATTGATCGGAAGGGGTTCCGGGTCATGTCTATACTTCACCGAACCTATAGGGTCACACGCTTAAGGGTCATCTATTTGCTGAATACTAGATAGGGAGTCTGAGAGAAAATGATCGAAAAAGTTTCGGACGCCGAAAAGTTTCGGACAGCGGAAAAGTTCCGCAGAGAGAGGTTACCGGATGAGTTTCGGTGAAACCGAAAAAGTTGTTCCGGGTTTGCCATTAAGTCAAAATGGTTTCGGCACATGCCTGATAATTCTTGGAGGGTGCCAGAATCATTCTGTAAACTTTTTGGAATTTTCAGAAATAAAAACCGAAAATGTTCCGGAGCTGCCGGAACCGGTTCAGATGCTTTTCGCAGATGAAAATCACTAAACTGGAATTGTTCAAGAACGCTTTGAAAATTATTATGGTGGGTACTAGAAATGTTCTAAGCCCACATAAATATTTTCAGTTCGAACGGACGCTGAAAAATGTCGTCGTGAATAGTGAAAATGCTTTTTGGGATATTTTATGGAAGCCACCTTTTGGGACTTTGCCCAAAAGATCTAGGGATGACATGGAAGGGTGGGAACCTCCTTTGGGGGGGGGCACAAGGGGTGGGACGTTCATGGGTGCAGCTCATCCATGGGGCCCCACTTGTCCCTTGTTTTCACTCTTTAGGTCCTTGTGAAGGACTCGATTTCATGTGGGTTTTGGGTTTTCTTGTAAAACCACCCCACCCCTTGGGATTTCCTATAAATAGAGGTGGAGGGGCAGCCCTCCACTCTCATCCCTTGCTCTCATACACATGCCATGCATTATCTGGCTTCTTCTCTCCCTCCCACGAAAAGAGTTTCGTAGAGCCGTAAGGCTGTCTGGGTTCCGGCAGGAACTAGTTCTGAATGGCGAAGCCCTGTCGGATAGATGACACCGTATGTGTGCAACTCTGTAGAGATATCATAGTTTCAGTCTTAGTTCATGAGTGCCTCCCAAAGGGCTGTCCGAGAGACCGTCCAAGTTTCGAAGGTCCTCCCGAAGGGCTGCCCGGGTGACCTTTCGAGTTTCGAAGGTCCTCCTGAAGGGCTGTCCGCGACACCGTCCGGGGGGCTATTCGACCGCCTCCCGAAGGGCTGTCTGAGGAGCAGATGAGGGTATACATCCTCGCGGTTG